CCCCAAAACCCCAAAACCCCAAAACCCCATCAATCCAAATATTGAAGAAATTATGCTAAGATTAAGATTTAATAATTAATAATTTATCTTTATTTATAATCAGACAAATTTAGTCTAATTATCTCGTATCTGTATTAGGACATCATAAACTTTGTCTACTTTGCCTAGTAACTCTCTAACTGATGTTTCTAATTAATTAACCCTATTGTTCAATTTTTCTGTATTTTTATCTTAAATCAAAAGCTTTTTATCGATTTTTGATTCATTTTTTAATTTATCAGGCTAATGTTTTGCAAATAAATCACTTATTCTCTTTTTCACATTTCTAATAACTTGCTTGTCATTAAAGCAGTTGTATTCCTCAAAATCCTTTTAATCCTCACTTTACTATGCTGTGCTTTTTTCTTTAATTGCTTTATGATCCTTTTTTATCAACTCAGGCTCATCAAAGTTAGAAACTGATATTTTTACTGAATTTTATTCAATTTATGAGGATATAGATGAAATTTTATCTTCATCACTTTCATCAATATCTTCAACTTCTTCTTGAATTTACTTCAAAGTTGCTGCAAATTAACTTTCCCTCTATTCATTATTTTATAATTTTATATTTTTATCTAATTCTTTAGTGGATTGATTATTATTAGAAGCAGTCTCTGCTGATATTTTGGATTAAAGTCTTTGCAAAGCGTTAGAATTTACATTTGAGTTATGCCCTTGCATATCACTTGCTAGTTCACATTATTTGATTGCATCAATTTTAAGTTTCAAAATCTTTTATAGCATTTTTACACTGTTGTTAAAAAGATCATCAAAAACCTCTGGAAACTCTATTTTTATCTTGTCAATGTTGTCTAATGATAGTAAATGCAGATCACAATTTTTAACTGCTTATATTGTGAATCTTCTAAATAAGTCTTTACCATTGACAGTGTTTTGCTTAACTTTAATTTGTATATTTAAAATTTTTGGATCATACACTAAGTCAAGATGACCAAAATGATCACCCCCTTCAATGTCAATATAGATAGCATTATTAAATCTCTAAAGGACAAAACCAGCTTCTCCCTTCTCAATAAAATATACTATTGTAAAATTAGTAATTGAATTAAATGTTTTAATGCTTACTTTCTTATATTTCATCCCCCTCTTTGTAGATATACTCATTCTATTGAACATAAAATGGTTTAAGAAGAGGGAGAATCCAGATAATAAATTTCTTATCTTATCTTTTCATAAACTCTATAGAGGTATATAGCTTGTGATTAGTCTCTAAGGCAAGTTCAGTTTTGAGTTTACTTGGGAGTTCATTCATAAATGTTGAAACATCATAAGAGGTTTTACTGTAGTAATACTTAATCCACTTTCTTATCTCCTTTATCAACTCTGGTTTGATTTGATATTTCTGTTCGATCTCACTCAAAGTTTCTATTTTCTGCTTTAACTCAGCGCAAGTTGCATCTTGATTATTGATGATATTAGTGAGGGTTCCAGATGCATAAGAGAATGAAACAACCCCAATTATCATTAAAGTAATTGATAGAATTTTTTCTGACACAGTATAAGCATGAATGTCACCATATCCAACAGTTACTATTGTTGTAACTGTGTAGTAAAAAGAAGTCATATAAAGTTCTGCATTTCCATAATCTTCAAATCCACTTTTAAAAATCCAAGTGGTTCTTTAATTATCCTCTAATTTTGCAATGAATATTCTATATGTATTAGCATTCATTAATAGGTAAAACTTACTAAATACAAGCCGTAATATGGCAAAGAGTTAGGAAGATGATAAGCAAAAATAGCAACCTTTCATACCCAACGCTTAATTGGAACATTCTATGCAACACCTACTAGAACAGACTCTTATATTTAACAACTTTGACAAGTCTAGCTAGCCTTATCATTTTGATCATCCTATAAATCTTTCCAAGCCTCAAAATTCTCCCAAGTCTATTATAACTGCCTGATTCTAGAATATAGTCGAAGGGAACAATAGTCAAGAGATCTACAAAAAACCAAGATTAAATGTAAGTCTTAGCAATATCTCTCTTGAGATCAATTATTTTGAATTGATGACTATAGTATGCAGAAAAGAAATTTACAAAAATATCTACTAGAAATAGAAAATCAACAACAGCATTAATGACTGTCCAACTAATATCTAAGCTATCTATAAACGCAATAGAATATGGACTTTAAATACAGGTGTAAATCAGTAGAAATGAGACAAAAGCATTCCAGCATAGCTTGAACAATGAGTCAGGATAAATAATACACCGTCTTCTACTCTTTTTATCATATATTTAGCTGATCTGCTTGCTGATAATTTAGTCTTCAAATTGCTTTTTTTTCTTAGATTTGTTTCTTCTCAGTAACTTTCGATTCGTATTATCTCTTCTTATCTTTTCAATATAATCACCAACAGATTCCTAATTGTTGCTAAAATTATTGATTGTTTGAACTTCACTTTAATTCTAATTGTATTAAATATCTTGCTAAACATATTTCTGTAGATTTTTTAGCATTGCTTAGCCAAGCTTTTGCTTGATCTAATTTTCAAAGTAATGTTCATAATTATCTTGAGTGTTCTCTTTAGTTTCAAGTTAGTCAATATCTTTCTAGTCTATAGGCTCAAGTATTTTTTTATTTTCTAGCCTTTCCTCTAAGTTTTGCCTAAGGCTTTATTGAACTTATAACTGCAATTCACTTAATTTTGAATTTGTTGACTCCTTTTTGAAATTCTTCTGAACTTTGTTCCAAAAAGTACTTGCTTATTTAGGTGTTTTACTGTTTTGAAGAATCGCAATACTATTAGTTGTGCTATCTCTACCGATTTACTGAGTTTCTTTATGGTTAGAGGGTGAAATATCTTGAATATTTGATATCTCTATGTTTTTGCCAATACAATTTTCCTATTTATTTTCCTAGTTTCCGATTGATGGAATATTAAAAATATTCAAATTCAGACTAACTTTTTCGGATCTATTTGTTAGCTTGCTTTTAATATTCAGTTAATTGCTTTGAATAAGCAGATCATAATCAGTCTCAAGGAATCCTGTCTAAGTTACCATTTACTATTCTTATTTATTATGTTCAATTTATTCAATGGTCAACTTGACTTCCTCATCTTGATCTTTATTGAATGACCTTGATTTCTTATCTTGATTTTATTCTGATTTCTATTAGTTGGATTGGTGTACTTCAAATTATGAATCATTATCCTCATTTTGGTGGTTTTCATCAGACATTAGTTTCCTATTTGTATCATCGATGCTAGCTAGGTTTATAAAATCAAATCTTAGTTGTTTATCTTAAATTAAGATATCATCACCTTTAGGTTTTGTTTTTTTGTCACTAAGTTAAGGTTTTTAAGGACTGAGTTAGTTCATCTAAAGTATATTTACAATTTATTTTAATCACTATAACTTTATAAAGACTTTCATTAAATTCGTCATATTTATATGAATTAATTTCATTAATCTCAAATTTTGAAATTATCCTTGCCATTGGGGTTTTGGGGTTTTGGGG